TCTTCGATGCCTTTACCATTTTTCTGAAGTTTTTATCGCAGTGAATGCAAAGTGATTCACTAATTATGGGACAACCTAATAGATGCTTCAGGAACTTTTTACTCTAGCGACCCCACACCTAATGTTGCTATCTAAACCACTGATGAGATGCACATGACACTTAACATTTACCATAGACGACAGCGCGACGCGTCTGCGAGTCTCACTTTGCTACTGCAGCAAAGGGGAAACTACACGGCGTATCAATTAACCATTGAATACTTGTTCGACAAAATCAGCCGCACAATACGGAAAAAGTCGATCCCATCCCTGTTCACACGTAGCTCTGAGAAACGGCGAATTCGTGGTAAACCCGCTCTAGAATCTTGACAGCCACACATGCTCTGCACTCTTAAAGATTCCACAACAAAAGTCGGACACCAACAATCTCCTAGTTAGCGAACCGAGACCGTGAAGAACGGAAGCCATACCGCTGACAAAGACCGCCACCTATACCACTAACAAAGACCGCGATCCTAAATCTGAATTCCGGCTTGCCGTCTATGCCTATCACCCCTGCAAATTCAGGCAAATTCAGATGAATCCACACTTATCTCGGAGGACAAAAACGGGTGCTATCGCAATATACGGGGCACTGTGATGGCAATGCAATTGAAGCCGCGTGAAACATGTTTTTTGAACGGGAGCCTCAGAGGGGGTGGGGAGGGCAGACTCCAAGGTGCCTGAGCCGTTTTCATTTTCACTGGGGGTCCTGCCTCCTCTAGGCGTAGTCCTAAAGGATGCCCCCGTGTATTGCGGTAGCGCCCAAAAACGCCAGTTTACATATCGTAATCAATGTGTAGATTAGTGCATTTTACTCAATCGACTAAGGATGGTGAGTCAAGTCAGACGGGTGGCGCAACCGAGAAGTGATCAGCACTAACTTTCCTGTTCACACTAATTCTACGGGAAAGCAGAGCTGGTCTCGCTCGTTACGTGTGCCCACTCCAGAAATGGGTGCAGCTCATCTGAATGAGCCTTTTTTAATAGATTATATCAATTAAGATGTCTTAGCTAGTTCTAAACTCTAATCGAGACTAAAAAAACCGCGCTGCGCCGCACAGTCACGTCCGTCTAACCCACTCGTGACAATGGCATCCACCGGTGGCTGCCAAAACTCTCACTCGAGACAACGGTATCCACCGGTGGCCGCCCATCCACTCAAATTTCATTGAAGAAAAATCTCCTGACCCTCCTGCTATTGCGCAATCCCGCGCGGTCGCGACTGGGTTAATAATGTAACTGGTATACACTATGTATGGGCATGAAAAACAATGGATGCCTTGGACGATGAACTAACGCTCTGAGCAATGCTAACTAAAGTACCACTCTAGACAAAACAGCTCTAAACTAAACTCTACACGCTAAAATCGGAATATTCATTTGATGAGAATCGAATGGAGAAAATCGTTCAAAAATAGCCGAAAGCGCACAAATTGAAAGGCGATCAAAATATACAGTAACAACAATCGATCGATGGAATATCACCTATGTTCAAGAGAGATGCGCCGCCAGCCACCTTCTCTAATCACTGAATGGACGAATTTTACTGACCATACTCGGTCAGCTCACGACCAATCAGTGATAAGTATAATTTTAGGATGACGAAGAATAATCAATATACAATATTATTGCATCTATAAAAACCTTAAAAAACAAAATGATGCATATTATTTGCACAAACTGCGTTCACACTTCAGCGCACCCCATAAACACTCTTCACAATAGGTGATTTCGATTTTGCGCGTGCGCTTCAAAATCAATATCCGTTCTAGAGCACTCGGCAATGTGAAAGCAGTTATTGAAGCCCTGAATAATAAAGCGACAAGAAATGAATGGATGAAAAAATCGATGAATGATGATTAGATAGATAACAGGGAAATTGACGAATATATGAACATACGTACATTACGTACGACAACGATAAAGGCAGCCGAACAGAAAGTGCCGAATCTACCACGACATTGTCCTTAAGCGAATCTCGGCGTCTCAGTGAAATTTCCGATATAATATAGGCAGGAGGACGTAATCACGGATAACACAATACTTTCACAAACACACACCGCACACCGCACACGTACATGCCAACAACGACGTCAAGTTCACTTCGGACCAAAATCACTTAACTCCAATATGATATGCATATGATGATAAGAAATCAAATCCATATATAGCACGTCATTTGATGCTTGAACAGCGTTAATAATAACAGCACTCGATAAGCTCGATATCGATGAATGGATCGATCGATAAGCGCAAGGAAAGCACTCGAATCGGGAATATGCTTGTCATGAGGACGGTGATGGAGGTGGAGGCGGTAGACGATTTGGCGGTGGTGGTTGAAGAGGCGGAGGCGGCGGTGGAGGTGGACCACGCTAAAATACATACAATACTTTCATATATGAAACACTACAAAACGTGAGTAAGAAATGACGTCGGCAAAATTTAACTGCTTTTCGAGGATGTTCAAAAAGCAAGGGTCGCCTTGAAGACTGCCGGCGGAAAGTCACTGA